TATCATGTGGAGAATCACAAGAATGTTCACTAACATGAACTTGCACCATTCAGTATGTTAAATTAAGTGTATAAGCTAAAATTAGCAAAAATGCTAATGTTAGAATGAATACTGTCAGTAGCATGTGGACAATCACGAGCATGTTCTCTGTAATTTACTTACTCCATTCACCATACCAAATATCGCTAATAAGTCAGAAATAGCTAATACCTCATTTAAGGTAAAAGGCTAATGCTAATGCTGTGCCTTGCTGCGCAAGGCAGAGCCCTAACCTGACTAAAAAAGATCAAGCAAGCTGATATCATTGCAGCGCCTGCGGCGCTGCATTAGCCACAAACGAATCTTAAGGCTTTTATTTTGAAATTTTCATTGAGATTAATTTTAAATGGCCAATTTCATTCCATGTTTAACACTGATTGGTTTAAATCAGTTATATAGTGGTCAAAAGAGCAATTACTTGATGAAAAAATTGTGAAGGCTTTTATTTTGAAATTTACATTAAGCTTAATTTTAATGGTAACAGTAATCCCATGTGTAACTATGGAGTTTTGAAATCAGTTCTAAAATTCCCAAAAAACAAGCTTAATTTTAAATGTCCAAAATAATCCAAAGTTTAACAGTGGTTTTGTTAAAAAAGTCACCTAATGCCCAAGAGAGCAATTACGTGATATAAAAGAATCTCAGGGCTTTTATTTTGAAATTTTCATTAAGCTTAATTTGAAATTGCCACACTAATCCTGTGTGTAACAATGGTTGCTTAAAATCAGTTATAAAAAGCCCAAACACAATGTAATTCTAAAGGCCAGCTCATTCCTCCTCAGTAGTAACTGACAGTTCCGCCATGTTGTAGTTCTGACAATCAGCTCTGACCTCTTTTGTAGGCACTGAGTGTTCCGCCATGTTGTAGTTCTAACCTTCAGGAATTGTAGTTCTAAAGAGGTCAACAGTCATGTGTGTGAGGCAGAGAGAGATTTCTATCTTTGTGAGACAGCTCAGTCAGTTATAATGGAAAAAGCAGCCCGAACAACTCCTTGCCGTTCGGGAACCGTGATACGTATCGGAAAACCGTTTGAAGCATATGAGAGAGCTATTTTTTGTCTCCGATAGTCCTGCAAATCAAATCTGTAGCTCATTCATAGTAATTACAGCGATGATATAAAAATGGTTTGCGCTGAGGTCTGAAATTTTCCATAAAATTATGAAAATACATGGTGGAGAGCGTCAGTTAGGCTGGAACTTGATTTTGCTCTAAAGCACCTTGACACAAAACCGTAAGCCCTCGAAAAATTTTGAAAACATTTTACCGGAGCAAACATTCGTATCAATGTCATGACCGAGTTTCATACCGATAGCACGATATTTGTGGGTGTGGCGGCGATTTCAAAATTTATTTGGGGTCAGAATCGCACTGCTTCCCACACTCTAACGAAACGTCAGTTACACTCTAGGTTTTGGCAGTTGAGCTTTTCGGTTCGGCAGTTGGAAATTTGGCTCGTTTTTTGCTTTTTACGTCGCCGTCATAACGCCGATTCCCCATAAAAGTAATAGCTCCAATGCCGGGAACGAGCCGCACGTTTTGATACCACTTTTGTGGGTGGGCTCGCAGCGGTGCGAGCCGCATTCCGGTCTACGGAAGAAAAATAAAGAAGAACTAGAAAATTCCTGAAGAAATTTAACCGGGGCCTGCCAAAGTGTGCCCCTCGATTTTGACCCAGCGTTCTGATGCTAAACATTAGCATCCATGCTAAAGAAAGCTGCAATGTCATTAATACAATGTGGAGAGTCACAAGCATGACTTACTGCATTGAGTATACTAAATATGGGTAATAAGTAAGGGAATAGCTAATACCTCATGCAAGGTAAAAGGCTAATGCTAATGATCTGCCTTGCTGCACAAGGCAGAGCCCTAACCTGAGTGGAAAAGATCATACAGGATCATCTTATTGCACTACCTATGGCAGTGCACTGGTGGGAAACAGAGAAATGCTAATGTTTGTGCTAATGCTAATGCACTGTCTTGCTGCGCAAGACAGTGCCCTAACTTGAGAGGAAGAGATAATGCAAGCTTGTATCATTGCAGCGCCTGCGGCGCTGCATAGCCACAGCCGAATCTTAAGGCTTTTATTTTAAAATGTTCAGAATGTTTAATTTTAAATGGTCAATGTAATCCCATGTATAACAGTGATTTGGTTAAATCAGACATATAATGGTCAAAAGAGCACTTATTTAATATAAAAATTCTCAAGGCTTTTATTCTGAAATTTTTTAAAAGTATATTTAAAATTTCCACACTAATTCTATGTGTAACAATGGTTGGTTAAAAATAGTTATAAAAGGCCCAAACACAAGCAGCTCTAAAGTCCAGCTTTTTTCTCTGAGTTTTGCCATACTTAGAACTACAGTGATGCGTTTTTGTAGTCCTAATCAGCTGGCCCCTTTGTGTTCCATTGCCATGGTAATGGATGTTCTGCCAGCTGTGAGTCAGACAGGGGGAGACTTAATTCTATCAGTTTGAGGCAGCCATTTTCCCTAAAATAGGCATGAGCCAGAAAGGAATCTTAAGGCTTTTATTTTGAAATTTTCACTGAGATTAATTTTAAATGGCCAATCTCATCCCATGTTTAACACTGATTGGGTTAAATCAGTGATATAGTGGTCAAAAGAGCAATTACTTGATGGAAAAATTGTCAAGGCTTTTATTTTGAAATTTACATTAATCTTAATTTTAATGGTAACATTAATCCCATGTGTAACTATGGAGTTTTGAAATTAGTTCTAAAATTCCCAAAAACCAAGTACTTGTCATGGCCAGCTCATTCCTCCTCAGTAGTAACTGACAGTTCCACCATGTTGTAGTTCTGACAATCAGCTCTGACCTCTTCTGTAGGCACTGAGTGTTCTGCCATGTTGTAGTTCTGACCTTCGGGAATTGTAGTTCTAAAGAGGAGGTCAACTGTCATGTCAGTGTGACACACAAGGAGAGACTTAATTCTAAATGCTTGAAGAAGTTAGTATTTCTGACAGGCATGAGAGAAATATTCAAGGTTTTATTTTGACATTTTCATTAAACTTAATTTAAAATTTCCACACAAATACTGTGTGTAACAATGGTTGGTTAAAATCAGTTATAAAAAGCCCAAACACAATGTAATTCTAAAGGCCAGCTCATTCCTCCTCAGTAGTAACTGACAGTTCCACCATGTTGTAGTTCTGACAATCAGCTCTGACCTCTTTTGTAGGCACTGAGTGTTCCGCCATGTTGTAGTTCTAACCTTCAGGAATTGTAGTTCTAAAGAGGTCAACAGTCATGTGTGTGAGGCAGAGACAGATTTCTATCTTTGTGAGACAGCTCAGTCAGTTATAATGGAAAAAGCAGCCCGAACAACTCCTTGCCGTTCGGGAACCATGATACGTATCGGAAAACCGTTTGAAGCATATGAGAGAGCTATTTTTTGTCTCCGATAGTCCTGCAAATCAAATCTGTAGCTCATTCACAGTAATTGCAGCGATGATATAAAAATGGTGTGCACTGAGGTCTGAAATTTTCCATAAAAGTATTAAAATATATGGTGGAGAGCGTCAGTTAGGCTGGAACTTGATTTTGCTAAAGTACCTTGACAGAAAACCGTAAGCCCTAGAAAAAATTTGAAAACATTTTACCGGAGCAAACATTCGTATCTATGTCATGACCGAGTTTGAGACCGATTGCACGATATTTGTGGGAGTGGCGGCGATTTCAAAATTTATTTGGGGTCAGAATCGCACTGCTTCCCACACTCTAACGAAACGTCATTACACTCTAGGTTTTGGCAGTTGAGCTTTTCGGTTCGGCAGTTGGAAATTTTGCTCGTTTTTCGCTTTTTACGTCGCCGTCGTAACGCCGATTCCCCATAAAAGTAATAGCTCCAATGCCGGGAACAAGCCGCACGTTTTGATACCACTTTTGTGGGTGGGCTCGCAGCGGTGCGAGCCGCATTCCGGTCTACGGAAGAATAATAAATAATAAAGACAGAGACATTCTATTGGGTGAAGATTAATAGGTGCCTGCCATGCAATGCATGGAGGCAGTTACTGACTTGCTTCGCAAGTCAGTAACTGCTCTCCTTATGCATTGCTAGGCAGGGCCCAATAAAGAGGCATTCTATTGGGTGAAGAACAATAGGTGCCTGCCATGCAATGCATGGAGGCAGTTACTGACTTGCTTCGCAAGTCAGTAACTGCTCTCCTTATGCATTGCTATGGGCAGGGCCCCAACTAGAAAATTCCTGAAGAAATTTAACCGGGGCCTGCCAAAGTGTGCCCGTCGATTTTGACCCAGCGTTCTGATGCTAAACATTAGCATCCATGCTAAAGAATGCTGCAAAGTCATCAATACAATGTGGAGAGTCACAAGCATGACTGACTGCATTCAGTATACTAAATATGGGTAATAAGTAAGGGAAATAGCTAATGCAAGGTAAAAGGCTAATGCTAATGCTCTGCCTTGCTCCGCAAGGCAGAGCCCTAACCTGAGTGGAAAAGATCATGCAGGATAATCTTATTGCACTGCCTATGGCAGTGCACTGGTGGGGAACAGAGAAATGCTAATGTTTGTGCTAATGCCCTAACTTGAGAGGAAAGATAATGCAAGCTAATATCATTGCAGCGCCTGCGGCGCTGCATTAGCCACGGCCGAATCTTAAGTCTTTTATTTTCAAATGTTCAGAATGTTTAATTTTGATGGTGATGTGTCTTATTCACAACCCGTCAAATAAAGTCTCACTGTAAACGTCCTGGAAACAAAGTCCCGGCTCTGGTAACCGATCCAGTGGTTCCGGTCCAGTGGTTCCTGATCCAGTGGTTCCGGTCCAGTGGTTCCTGATCCAGTGGTTCCTGATCCAGTGGTTCCGGTCCAGTGGTTCCTGATCCAGTGGTTCCGGTCCAGTGGTTCCTGATCCAGTGGTTCCGGTCCGGTAGAGCAGGATCAGTGAACTCTTCCTCCTCCTCCTCTTCCTCTGCAG